GCTGGTAGCTCAGGTGAGAACCTGTTTTTAAATCTGTAACCCAATTGTATAATAGTAAAAAAATTGTTGAACTCAAAATAAAGGGGAACAGCTATTCACTGAATGACAGACAAACACAGAAACAAGTACACAGCACAAACAAACATCTTTACAAAATCAGAGTGCACTCAAATATATTTTTGACCAAAATGAATTATAGTAACTATGATAATTTTAGAAATTTATAATTTAAATAGACTAGTCAGATTTTGTTGTCAATAAGCAGAGATCTCTTAGAAAATTTTTGGAAAGAATAGAATCTTTACTAATACCCCCAAAATTTAAAGTGAATAGGACTTTGTGTAATAATTGGTAAACTTCTATCCCCTTGTCCCCCTTGTTTTGCTAACATACATTTAAGAGTAGCGTGTGCCCTTTTTTTTTTCTCCGGTACCGGGAACCGAACTCACGACCTTGCGCTTGCCAGGCAGGCGCTTTGCTGCTGGTGTGTGTCCTTTCAACCATAACTTGTCCTTGAGGATTATATGGAATGCTGGTATCATGATTAATATCCCACAACGCACAGAATTGTTGGAAGGAACGTGACATGTAAGCAGGTCCGTTGTCAGCTGTAATTGCTTTTGGTTTGCCTATAATAGCAAAACACTCTAACAAATGATTTTTAACATGTACAAATTTTTCTCCTGGTTGTGCAGAGGTCCATATAAAGCCAGAACACATGTCAATAATAACACGTACAAATCCAAGTTTCCCAAAAGCAGGAATATGAGTTACATCCATTTACCACAACTCATTACTTTGCAAGCCTCCAGGATTTGTTCCAGGCTGAAAAGTAGGATTATTAAGCATTCCACAAGTAGGACACGATAAAATGATTTCACGAGCTTGTTGAATGGTAAGTTGAGGAAATTTTTTACGTAAACCTTTGGTATTTACATGAGTTAAAGTATGAAATTCAGTGGCTAAACAATCTAGTGAAGAAATAGCAACAAGTTTATCAAGTTCACCGTTATATTTAACCATGTCACCAGGAAGATGTGAATGAGAACGAATATGAGTTATGAAAATAGGAAAATCTCTATTATGAATATTAGTTTGTAACTGGCAGAACAATTGATCAAGTTCAGTATCATTTGACAAAGTAGCTGTTTCTATATGATTAACTGTGAACCATACATATTGGGAGTCTGTAACAGTATTAGTGGATTCTGGAACATCTAATAAAAGTTGGGTAACTGCCTGGAGTTCTGCTCTTTGTGCAGAATGAAAAGGAGTGTGCCATATTTTAGAAATTCTTGCTACATATCCGGCTTTTCTGTTTCCGCTACCATCAGTATAATATGTGTCTGCTGCTGGTATAGGTTCAGAGTGCACAATTTTAGGCGAAATCCAGTTATGCCATTTTAGAAACTGTGAAAGTTTAGAATTAGGGTAATGGTTGTTTTTCCAATATAGCCTGCTAGTCCAATTTGCCACTGTTCACTCATTTGTAATGCCTGATCTATCTGCTGCTTTGTCAAGGAAAAAACAATAGATTCAGGGTCTTTTCCTGTTAACTGTCCTAAGTGAGCTCGACCTTTAAACACAATTAAACCTATTTTATCTATATAAGTAGTGAGTCGCTTCTGTTCCTTGTGTGGAAGAAAAATGCATTCTAACACTGCTTCTTTTTGCCATAGTATAGCCGTAGGAGAATGGGGTGATGGAAAACTTAATTAGATAAATCTATGCGGGTTAGTTGAGCTTGACCTATACGCTGTTCTACCCAGGCTATTTCTTTTTCTCCTTCTTTTGTAAGGTGGTGAGGGCTATCTAACGCTGGGTTTCCTTTAAGAGTATTAAAAAGGTGTTGCAAAGCATAAGTAGGAATGCCTAAAGAAGGTCGTAACCAATTAATATCTCCTAATAATTTTTGAAAATCATGAAGGGTGAGAAGTTGATCTCTACGAATACTAATTTTTTGGGGCATTTATGCTGCTTTGAAGGCTATGCCCTAAATAGGTAACAGGATAGTTGGTCTGTATCTTATCTGGGGCTATCTGTAGGCCAAAGTCAGTCAACAACTGCTTGTCTACACAGAACATTTTCTGTAAATACCTTTCTGATCTAGTGGAAAAAAGAATATCATCTTTATAGTGTATAATCAGAGCATCTGGGAATCTTTCCCGCAATAATTCTAAAGGTTTGTTGACATAATATTGGTAAAGCATCGAACATTTAGCATTCTTTTGGGAGAAAGGGCTGTTTCCCTTCAAAGCAGCTGCAAGCAATCCTGCTTTGAAGGCTTCTGATCCTATATCCCAACAAGCTTTCATATGCTCTCCCAAAGTAGCATCCTGAGATTTCAAGGGTTTTAAAACCTTTTTGCATTCTCTATTGGCATTATCATAAGGTAACATTTTTAATAATAATTCTCTCAAAGCAGGCTGAGACACTGTTTTCTGGAGTACTTCTTTCAATCTAGCTATAAATTCTACATAAGGTTCGTTAGCACTTTGAATGACCTGAACAAAAGAGGGAACAGTTTGGCCGGGAGAAGCAATGTTTTCCATGCTTGGAGACAGCACGTTCTCGTTTGGACGACTGCGTTATCATTATATTCTAACTGCTGCTCAATACCAAACCAATCACCAGAGCCCACGAGCTGCTCCGCAGAAATGGGAACTGGCGGATTGGCATGGGCATTATGGCGGGCCATTAATTCTGCCTCATCTCTCCACCAAGTTTTAAACTGAAGGAATTCAGCCAGACTGAGAACTGTATGTCCAATTATTTCCCAGTCCCATGGAATTAAGCTGTCAGACTGAGCTAGTCCTGAAATCAACCCAAAGGTATAGGGAGAATTCACTCCATGTGAAACACAAGCCTGCTTCATTTCTTTAATAGTTTTAAAAGACACTGGAGCATGACTATGCTGAACATAACCTTGGGGACTTTCCTCATTATCTGCTAGTTCGGTAGCTGTAACTGGGCACAAAGCAAAAGCCTTACAAGCATCCAAATCTCCTTCCTGTTTGGCTTGGGCAAAAGCCCTCATGACTGTAGTCACGTGTAGTGGCCTTTGAACAGTTAACTGAGGTGGATGCCTGAAAGGGTTAGACTTATCACATATTGGGGCTGAGGGCTGTACCGGATACGCTTGAGAGACCAAAGAAGGAGGCGGAGGACAATCTAATCTCTTTTTCTTATTGTCAGTATTAGGTCTAAAAGACCCATACCCGCCTTCCTCCTTTGTAATTGGTCCTTGTTCCTGAAAGGATAGAGTTTCCTCAGACAAACTATTATCTGATTCAGAATCGGATCTGTCTTTGCATTTTTTACTTCTTGTATCCTGCAAGATCTCCTGTTCTGGTTTAGTTTCTTTTTGAGACAGAAAATTACCCATAGTAATCCTGATGAACAATTCCGGAGACCGGGCTTACCTATCCGTTGACTCTTCTCCGGTCTGCTCTCGAAGATTCCTTTCGTTTCCAAGCTCCCGCCCGTTGACTCTTCTCCGGTCAGTGGAGCACAGACTTAATTTCCTTAATGCTCTTTCCTACTCTTGAAGACTTACTTTCATACCTTAATCTCGAAGCCTTGTTTTCATACCTCAGTCTCCACTTTCGTACCCAGGTCCCTGTCCCTGCGCCATTATGTCGGATCACTCCTCCATCCCTGTCCAGGGTGAACAGGGCCCCAGAACGAGGTGCCCGGGCATGTATTAACCCCCTCCTCAAAAGAGCAACTGCAGAGCATATCTCTGGGCTCAGGGGCCTAGTCGCCTTGCGGACTCAAGCCCAGACTGCTGTCTCCAGTGCCCTTTTATTCCACCAGAAGAGAGGAGGCAGCCCCGGAACTGGGCCTGTCTCAACCATTTTTGCAAGGCCAGTACAATTCCATCGTCATAGGAATGAGACTCGACCAGTGAGCCATCATGTTGTCTTCCTTAGTTAGGGCCTATCTCAGAAAAGCATCTAGTGTCCCCGGGCCAACAATGCTTTTGCTAGACTTCCTCCAGAACCCAACAGCCACCGATCGGTCAGGCCTGAGGCGATACATCTAGAGAATGTCCTTCTGCACAGCTTCCGCCCAGCTCGTCTGTTTTCTTTGCACTGCTTAGATTAACCAGCCTCCTCCTTGCAGGGAGGGAGGCACGTATTTTAACCTCATCCTCTGCACCCTCCCGCTTCCTTCCTGGAGATGGGGGCAGAGTGAGTCCGGGGACCAGGGCACCCACCCAGCAGCTGCTGCTTCCTCTGCCACAGCTCCCTGTCCCCTCCTGGTCCGTGGAGGATGGTGGGAGCCCCAGGACCAGGCTGTGTCCCGTTCCCAGCACGCAGTCATCAGCATGCTTGCTCTCCTCTCTGTGGACTCACCCCATCCCAATCCGATTGATTCACTCAACAACCCCTTGGGGATCACCCACTCCACACCAGGCCCCAGGACTGTGTGTGCTTCAGGTGGAGCAGGAGGAAAGCAAGGAGCCCACCAGCCCCAAACTCCTCTGCCTTGTGGAGCCTCAGTTTCCCCAGAGACTTAGTGACCTGCCTGGGGATCGTCTGGCCCTGTGACCCTCTCCTGCAGTGACTCAGTCTTGACCCTCTGAAAGCTTCCCTGTCACTGCCAACTGCCCCAGCCGGCTGCCAGCACTGAGGACCAGACCTCTGGGCTCCTGTGAGCCTCGGACAGAAGGTCGAAGCCAAGGGGCGGGAGAAGGGGCGGGAGGCCCGGAGGGGCAGGAAGGGAGCCCCGGTGTGAAGTCTGCTCTGGAGCTGTGGGGATGCAGGAGAGCCGGCCCAGCAGGGCCCCCAAAGGCCGGCCAGATGCTGGCCCGGTGCTGAGGAATCTCACACCCTTCCTGCCCTGCCCCTGTCCCTGCCCCTGCTGCAGGCCAGGCTGGATTTCAATCTGCATAATTTGTCCCCTTGCAAGGGGCTGGGAGGGGCTGGGAGGAGGAGGAGCTGGGAGCTCCTCAAAGGGCAGCCTGAGGGGGCGGGGCTGGAGCCTCTGCAGGCTCCGGACCACAGATAACTCCTGCCCCGCGCGGCGGGGGTCAGTCTGGTGTCCTCACCCAGTGGAGACGAGGGAGGGCAAGCACAGTGGGCTGAGGCTCCAGCTCTCCGGGCCCTGGAGGAGGGGGCGGCGGGCGGTGGGCGGGAGAGGGCTCAGGAGGGGTGAGGAAGTGTCCGCAGTCGGGCTTGGCCGGCCGGAGAGGGTGGAGGGACAGCGGCCGGCCAGGGGCGTCCTTGGGCTCCTCCTGCGGGCTGGGAAGGGCTCCGAGCTCCTGCGGCCCCTGCCGCCCGAGACTCCGGTGCCATGGCGCTGGCCACCCTGGCAGCCGAGCCCACGTCCTCCCCGGTGCCCGGCGCGGAGGACGGGGGCGATTTTGACAACTACTACGGAGCCGACAACCAGTCGGAGTGCGAGTACACGGAGTGGCAGTCGTCGAGCGAGCTCATCCCTGCCATCTACCTGCTGGTCTTCTTCCTGGGCACGGCGGGCAACGGCCTGGTGCTGTGGACCGTGTTCCGGAGCGGCCGGGAGAAGCGGCGCTCGGCCGACGTCTTCATCGCCAGCCTGGCGGTGGCCGACCTCACCTTCGTGGTGACGCTGCCGCTGTGGGCCACCTACACGTACCGGGACTACGACTGGCCCTTCGGGAGCTTCTCCTGCCGGCTCAGCAGCTACCTGGTCTTCGTCAACATGTACGCCAGCGTCTTCTGCCTCACCGGCCTCAGCTTCGACCGCTACCTGGCCATCGTGAGGCCGGTGGCCAGCGCCCGGCTGCGGCTGCGGGTCAGCGGGGCCGTGGCCACGGCGGGGCTGTGGGTGCTGGCCGCGCTGCTGGCCGTGCCGGTCATGGTGCTCCGCACCACGGGGAACCCTGACAACGGCACCAGCGTGCAGTGCTACATGAACTACTCCATAGTGGCCGCGTCGGCGGACGCGGAGTGGGCCTGGGAGGTGGGGCTGGGCGTCTCGTCCACGGCCGTGGGCTTCGTGGCGCCCTTCTCGGTCATGCTCACGTGCTACTTCTTCATCGCCCGCACCATCGCCGGCCACTTCCGCAAGGAGCGCGCGGAGGGCCTGCGCAAGCGCCGCCGCCTGCTCAGCATCATCGTGGTGCTGGTGGTGACCTTCGCGCTCTGCTGGCTGCCCTACCACCTGGTCAAGACGCTCTACATGCTGGGCAGCCTGCTGCACTGGCCCTGCGACTTCGACCTCTTCCTGGTGAACATCTTCCCCTACTGCACCTGCATCAGCTACGTCAACAGCTGCCTCAACCCCTTCCTCTACGCCTTCTTCGACCCGCGCTTCCGCCAGGCCTGCGCCTCGGTGCTCTGCTGGGGCCGGCGCGGGTGCGGGGTCCCGGCCCACAGCAGCGGCAGCGGGGACAAGTCTGCCAGCTACTCCTCGGGCCACAGCCAGGGCCCGGGGGCCAGTGCGGGCAAGGGCGGGGAGCAGATGCAGGAGAAATCTCTCCCCTACAGCCAGGAGACCCTCGTGGTTGACTAGGGCTGCCCGGGGCCGGCCCTCACCCCTGGGACACAGGCAGCCCGGCTGTGCCGTTCCTGCTGGCCCGTGGCCCCTCCTCCGGGTGCAAAATCTCCCCCACTCCTCTCTGCCTCCCGAGCCTCAGTTTCCCCGTTTGCATGAAATCGGGGAGGTCAGGGAGCCCCTCCGGGGGATGTGTGCGTCCTGGCTCCGCAGGGTCTGTCTGTCTCCCCTTTCTTAGAGCCCCGGCCTCCTTTCCCTCTTCGCTGTTTGTTCCCGGCAGTCCTCACTTGCAGGGCGACCTCTTTTCTCCTGACACCAGCCCCTCCCGGGTCCTTCCTTCCCCAGGGTGACTCTGGGCGCGGGACGGCTGGCGGGGCGGGCGGGGCGGGGCGGCCGCTGCGTGTGAGCAGAGATTTAGCCCCACAGCCCCATGGCAGAGCTCCTGGGCCGGCGCAGCTCGGGCACCGGGCCGCTGACCCCACAGCAGAGATAAGCTTGGGGCTGGGTTTCTAAGAGCCCCTCTCGCCTCTGCGTCCGAGAGCCGCAAGCCCAGGCACTGAGGAAGCTGCGGACAGGACGTCCCGGTTCCCTTGCATGGGGGAACTTGGGCCGGGAAGAGTGAGACAGGTGGGGGGCCTCTTCCTCCGCCAGCCCTCCCCCCGCCCTCCCCCCGCCCTCGCCCACATCTCCTGGGCAGGGGGCCTGGGTGCCGGAGCCCTTGTGGGGCGGGGCCGTGGGAGTGTGTGCGAAGGCCAGAAGGAAGGAGACCGGCCAGGCAGGAATGCGCTCGGATGAGCCCCTTCCACGGCGGGTAGACAAGGGGTCTAGGGGTAGAGGGGTACAGTGAGCGCACCCCACTGGGTGGTGGCCCGAGGGCTGGTCCGTGGTCTGTAGGAAGTCCCCCCAGTTGGGCCCCTGCTCCTCCTCAGCTTCCGTGTTGGGAGGGGGAGGCCGCAAGAGCCCCCTGCAGCGCCGAGTTGGCAAGTGCTCCCCTCCCCCACTCCTGCCCCTGGGGTCACTGTCACCGGCTTGCGGTGGGCTGGGAGGTGCGGGCTGGGCTCCCTGCTGCCTCCGGGACGGCAGTGACGGGGCTGAGGCGTGATGTCCCCATCGCCACAGCTCAGGACAGCGCTGCTGGGAGCCCCCATGACTGGAGCAAGGTGCCCGTCCTGTCCTGGGGCCGCCCCTGGAAATGAGGACAAGGCAAGGGCAGCAGGGACAGGGAGCCCCCAGCTGGATGTTACAGGACACTTTGGCCGCCTGGGATGGAGCCCTTTCCGGAGCAGAGGCAGGAGGGTCTCCTCAGCTTGGTCTCCTGCCTTGGGGCCGGGACCTTCCCCAATGCTCACTGCGGCCCGGCTGACCGCAGGCACCAGGTGGCTGCAGATGGCAGAAGAGTGGCTTTCTGTCCCTCACCGCTTCCTCAGGACGCCCCTGCTGTTTCCCAGTCCTGTTAGTCACTGCGGCTCATCTAATAAAAGTGTGCTGTGTAACTGTGCAGCGTCTTCTTGGGGAAATACCTGGGGAGAAGGAGAAGAACCCGCAGCTCGGCTTTGGAAGCTTCTGGAGGAGGAGGTGGGGCTGGGGCAGGGGCAGTGGGCACCCAAGGCGGGAGGGGGATGGCAGAAGCGGGGGTGAGCAGCAGGGGAAGACAGACACCAGGGAAGGAGAACGGGGCAGAAGAGCAAGCCCAGGAGCCAGCGGCAGCTCAGCTTGGTGCTCTGAGAAGCACAGAACACATGGCTTTTGTGAGGTCGAGAGTGTGGGGCTGGGGGAAAATAGCAGCTTTCCTTCCTGGGGAGGTCGACTTAGTATCAGTGCACCCTTCCTCTGTCCGTCCGTCCGTCCGTCCATCCATCCATCCATCCATCCATCCATTGTCCATTATCCATCTGTCATCCATCATTAGTTTACGGTCTCCTGGGGAGTCATCACTCATCCAGTCCTCACTTGAGGGTCCACACAGATTAGTCCAGAACTTTGCATCTCTGTTCTCAAGCCAGAGCCGCTCTGAGCGTTCTGCAGTCTGGGCTGGGCACAGGTGGTGACTGAGGACTGGCCCTGACCAGGTGGAGGAACAGCGCTGCACTGGGCGCGTTGTTAAGGGCTCTGGGGGTCGTGCTGACCGTGGAGTCAGTTTCCTGGATGTGCAGTTACCGAAAGCTCCCCAGATGGCTGTGGGGTGAGGTCGGGCGTGGTGCCATCCTCAGACTCTTGCTGGGTTAAGTGGGCACCAGAGACCACAGAGGTGGAGCCTGAGAGCTGGGCTCGGATCTTCATCTGTCCGCAGGACGAGGCGTTGAAATGTGCACCACAGCCCACGAAGGCCTGGTGGGTAGGGGACACAAGCCGTCACCCACAGGGCTGGGTAAGGAGGAGTGTGACATGGGCTAAGTGTTCCCAAGCTGCTTCTCACGGTCAAGCTGTGCTCAGGCAGGACCTGCTTTCCTTTCTCTCCTTCCTTCGGCTCTACCCTCCCTTCCCTTCCCTTCCCTTCCCTTCCCTTCCCTTCCCTTCCCTTCCCTTCCCTTCCCTTCCCTTTCCTTCCCTTCCCTCCCCTTCCCTTCCCTCCCTCTCTCTGTCTCCCGCCCACTCCCTCCTCTGTGCTGGGGGTTGGATCTAGGGGCTCACACATTCCCGGCAAACACTGTACCACTGAGCTGCACCCTCAGCCCTGTGAAATGTCACTTTGAGACAGGATCTGGCTGAATCACTCAGGCTGACCTTGGACTCAAGATCCTCCTACCTCAGCTTCCCAAGTAGCTGGGATTGCAGGTGTGCGCTGCCACACCCGGTGGGAGGGAGGGCTATGTTTTTATTTTGGTGACTTCCGACTTCCCCCACCTGGAGCTGGAGCTGTCTTCCTTTAAGTCTCTGCCAGGGGATCCTAGCCAGGGGCTGGCTGGGCCTTCTGGACCCTCTCTCTCTCTCTCTCTCTGAGCTTGGTGCCAGGAGATCCTATGAGGAGACAGATGGGTCCCTTGGAAGACCCACCACCCACTCCCTGGAAGCCAAGGTGATCCTCAGCATGACAAGATAGAGACCTCAGGTGCAGGGAGCTGGCAGCTTGCAGGGCCCGGCCCAGGGGAAAGGGCGCTTTTTAATGAGCGTGCTCAAGGCTGGCTAATTTAGAAAGAGAAGATGCTTACTTAGCTCACAGGTCTGGAGACCCACGAGCTTGGTGCTGGCCCCCACTGACCCCTTGGAGGGCGTGTGCAGCATCGGTTCCCAGTGGAGAGAAGGGAACAGCCACAGGCAGAGGGGACTAAGGCCACGGGGCTGCCTGGCTTCATGATCACCTCCATCACTGCAATCTGGTCTCGCAAGACCTAACTCACTCCAACCAGACTTCACCCGGTGCATGAGACTTAAGCTCATCTCCTGAGAAAGCCATCAGCCCATTCACCAGGGCCCGCAGCATCTCATCACCCCCAGGCTCTGCCTCCTGAAGCTTCTGCATTGAGGAGGGACCCTGAGTTGGCTTGGAGCAACCACACCCAAACAGTGTGTTCGTTTGACAAACCCAGGGATTCGGTGTCTGCTCCATGCCTGGGAGTCGAGGATACTGCCAAAGACCTCTGTCTTCACGAAGCAACTTGGGGCGCTCTTTAGCTCCAAGTGGGTAAACTGAGGCCCGTGGAGGGACGGGAGAGAATTGACCGTGGTGGTACAGCCAGGGCAGCTGAGCTGGGACGAGAACTTGGGCTTCTCGTGGTCAGGAGAGAGTGTTCGCTCTGAGAAGACGGTGACTGCTTTCTGAGACCTCTCCGGGTGTGTGGAGAGAACCCCGCCGAAGGCGGGCTGCAGGTTGGGGCGGGCCGCGGGTGCAGTGTTAGGTGCATTTTTCTTATGCTTTTTATTTCTGAAGAGTTTTAGCTTTATAGAAAAATTGCTGACACAGTACAGAGTGTTCCCCCAAATTCCACACCCAATTTCCTTTCTAATTAACATCTTACATCAGTGTGGCCGCCTGTCACTCTTAACGAGCCAGATGGGAACGTTGCTGTGAATTAATGCCCACCCTTGTCCAGATTTCTTTACCTTTTTTTTTTTTTTTTAAACCTAATGTTCTTTCTCTATTCTTGTGGCCCTGGCAGCTTCTCAGAAACTGTTGGATGACCTTGCTGGTTTTGAGGACTTCTGGTTGGGTGTTTTGTCCCTTGTATTTTTTTTTTTTAAGCAAATGTCTTTTATTTACACGGGCACATGCTAGCTGATGAGGAGAGAGAGAGAAGCAATAAATAACACACGAGTGACTCCTGCTTGTCAGGAGTTCGCCTGTCAGGAAGAAAGCGGGGTAGGCATCATTGTAGAGAGAACATGGAACAGACGGGAGAGATGCACACCGTCATCCGTCTACACCATGGACCAGAGAGAACGTGCTGGGTGAATGCAGGGGTCCACGCGCACCGCCAGCGGGTTTAAACATCAGGCTTTCTCTCTCCGCCAAGCCACACTTATCCATCCACGGCTCTGGCCTCTTTCTGCAGCAGCTCTGGAGTCCTCTTTCATGAGGGTCTCTCTGAGGTGTGATCAACAGCACAGGGAGTGCGGCCACCGAGCGCCGTCCACTGGAAAGTCAGCTCGGAAACACACGATTCTGCGTCCACATCCACCTTATCCACCCGATTGGGCACTGTGTGACTTTAGGCTCTTCCAGAGTCAAAGTGACCACTACAGGGAAACGTTTTGAACTGATGCAGGACATCGAGGCAGCCAGGACAGCACAGCGAGACACTCAGGGTGGAAAAGATGCAGAGTAACGGGGAGAAGGGGTGGTTTTTGTTTACTGCGAGGAAGTTGATTTCTTGTGGGAGAGGCGGGAATGCTGCCGTAAGGATGGGACGTGGGGAGGCGCCTGGGTTGACAGGTACTGACTTGTAACCGCTGCCCCAGGAGCCCAGGCGGCCTGGGCCTCCCAGAGCTGCCCCCGGGGAGCTCGGGGCCAGGACAGCCATTTCTCAAATCGTGGCTCCAGCTCCGTGCTGACTGGCTCGCTGTTTGTGCCGGAAGTCCTGCTGCGAGCCTCTTTGGGGCTGAATGCTCGTGTGCAAGGCCGGCGGGCTTCCTGGGGAAAGTATCAGTGCCAAACGGAGCCGGCACTGAGTCAAGTCTTCTGGGAATCCGCGCGGGGATGTTACCGGTCCTGGGGGAGGAACAGTGACATCCACTCGTGTGGTGCAGGGGATGCACCAAGGCCAGAAAAGAACATCTGGACTTCCCCGTCTGTAAAAATACCCAGGCACAACTTCCCTTCTGCCCCTGAAAGAGTTGCGCCAGGTCGAAGGGCACCCAAGAGGGTTTGGCAGCCTTGATTCTGGGCCTGGAATCCGTCCAGGGGTTCGGAGGGCTTCCTGCAGGATGCAGAGGAGGTGGCCTCTGATGACAGGAGAGGAACCAGGGCTCCACGCCAGGTGGCTCGGTGTGGCCTCTGGGGCAGAGAGAGGACTCAGTGAGGGGACACTGGTGACCCGGAGCGGGGGGATTGCCAGCCTGTGGCCCCGGGGTCAGAGAGTGTGGATGCGGCCCCTGCCCTTAGGAAAATGGACACTGCAATGGGATGGCCGGCTGTCTTCCGGGATGAGACCTGGAAGTCCTCAAGTGTCCGCGGGCCGCAGCCGGCTGCCGCTGTGCCGTGGGTGTGCTGCCGGGCGGTCAGGGCCGGGGAGGGCAGTGATTATTTGCTGTGCTGATCAGAAGCTCTGCAGCTATTTGGTGAGAGAGACGCTTCCCAGGCCAGAGGAGGATTTGGTCAGGAACTCAAGGGGGCACAGCAGGCAGGCGTAGAAAAAACAACAGCATGATGGCCGGAAAGGGTCATTCCCAGCTCCTTACTTCACCAGTGAGAAGCGCATTCTGGGTCACTTTATTAATACCACTGCTAAGCTGAGGTGACACTTGGTTCTCCGGGTTCCCGGGCATGCCTCCTGCAGTTCTCCTGGAGTCACCTTTTCCTACACGGCAGACGGCCCTGGAAAGGACGATCATTGGAGCAGACAGGAGTCACCATGGTGTTGAGGTCTATAGTTCCTGTTACGGACGACTTAATTTGTCTTCTTCAGAACCATGGTGCTTGTAGGCACTGTCCATCCTGCTAGCAGGAGCCAGGAGCAGCGGATTCGCACCCTAACTCCTCTCCTATTGGACTGTGCTACCCAGATCGTTTCCCCCAAACTTCTGTGTGTGGCGGCATCGCTGCTGGGGCTGCTATTAAAATACAGATTCTGGTCCAAGGTCCAGGTGCAACGGCAAACAGAAACACCGAAAGGACACCCAGGATTTGGGGGCAGATTTATTTACGTCAATGGGCACTGATCAGGATCATTCCCAGAATATGAGGCCCTGGGCCCTGGTGGTCTAGGGCTTATACAGGATAAGCAAGCGGGAAGTACAGAAGCAGAGTGGCTTGTCAGCCGGGGATTGGTTTGTACACTGTGATCATAGTGACCAGCTATGCATCACCGTGACCAGCTGTTTCTAGGAGACAGAAGCA